TGTGTTTTATTTGAAGATTATAGAATATTTATAACTCATCCCATACTAATTGATGAAGTTAAAATTATTTAATATGATGAAATATATAAACTATATATATATATATTTCATCATATTATATATAGGTCAATATTAGTATAAACTCAAACTCAAACTCAAACTCAAAATATCTTTATTCAAGTAGGTAACCAAGTACACTTTTGAATCGTCAAGTTAAATTAATCGTAAATTTACATTTACTACCAGTTCGCAAGTCAAGGGCGTAGAGCGGGTAAGAAGAACTGGCAAGAAACTTTCCGCCACTCTTTTTAATCGCCAAGTATTGTCATACAAATTGTTTGAACTGGAGCAATTCAATCCCAAGGATTAGGATCATTTAAGTAGTCCTCAAATTTATAAAAAGCTTTGTTGATTAATTTTCGTTTAACGAGGGCTTTGAATTTATTTAGTGATAATTCTCTAATTTCGCTTGGGAGCTTGTTGTAAAAACGAATACAATTTCCATATAAGGAGTGGTTTATCTTTTGGAGCCTGGTTGGTCGTACACTCAAATTAGTTCTATTTCGCGTATTATACTGGTGAAAGTCACCATTTGTTTTAAAATCGTTTATATTTTTTTGGACATACAACAAGGCTTCAAGAATATATTGACCAGATAGTGTCATAATATTTAATTCCTTAAACTTATTCCGTACCGACTCCCTCGGAGAAACACAACAAATACCCCGAACAGCCCGCTTATATAAAATAGCCATAAGTCAGCAACATTAAGATCTAATAAAATGTAATATACTAATCTAAAACCGGCTGCTTATTTAAAAAAAGTACCTGGTTTGTGCGCAAATTAGTATTTATAAGAAACTCTGTTTATTAGATTATTTAATTTATTTCAATCTCGTCTGTTTATGGTAATATTGTAATTTACAAGTTTATAATAAGCCTATTGTATTTCATAGATAAAACTATCAAACATGGTCCTCACATTGTATAAATACGACCTGAGCCCTCCTGTCAGGTCTGTCCTGATGCTGATCGAACACTTGAAGCTGCCAGTACAATTTGTTGAAGTGAACTTCATGAAGAGAGAGCAACTTACAGAGGAGTATAAGAAAGTAATATTTTTAATTTTTTAAATAACTAAGCTAGTCTTCCACGGACAATAATAGAGGGTAAAGATAGTCTCGTAATTGTTACCTGGTAACCACGTTTTTCATAAATTTTGGTAATATCCAACCATGAAAAAGTTATCCTTATTTTATGCTCATGTTTGAAACATTGCAATTATATGGTCATGACATTTTTTTTATTTTTAATTCATTGATCTCCACAAGTCAAGGGGACATCAATCACGCTAGGGATTGTGATTGATAAATACAACCAAATAATAATAAAAAAATGACTACTTCTTATATTCAGATCAATCCACAACACACGGTGCCTACGTTGAAAGATGACGATTTCATCCTTGGAGACAGGTAGATAGGCTTTTCTGTATTTGAATTATGATTAAAAGTAGCTGATGTTTTTTCTAAACGATCTTTAATATAATCGTCGGTATTATTACAATATATATTTATATATTCAATAATTCATATTCAATTACTATGTATAAATATATATTTTAATAATACCGACAAAAATCTATTTATATATATATATAAATATATTTTTAAAACTAATCCTAACCATGAAAACAAACGCGGTATGTGTAGTTTTTAAATAAGGCCGAATCGTTCGGCCGTTGTTTTACGTTATTTCTTCAAACATCATTGTTTCGCCACAGATATTTAGGGTCTATGGGTCGTACAGTGCCCAACTCAAACTCAAGCTCAAAATAACTTTATTCATAATATAGGTAAACATGTATTTACATTTACTACCAATTCGCAAGTCAAGGGCGTAGACCGGGCAAGAAACTTTCCGCTACTCTTTTAAATCGATAAGTTTTGAGTCATACAAATTGTTTGAATTGGAGCAAATCAGTCCCAAAGTCAAATTTATAAAAAGCTTTATTTATTAATTTACGTTTAACGAGGGCAATTAATGCAGTCTACATATTTTAGTTAAATTTAACATGTTTTTTTTTAATTTTAGTCATGCTATTTCCACGTATTTAATAAACAAATACGCGAAGGATGACTCTCTCTACCCCACTGAACCTAAACTAAGAGCCATTGTTGACCAACGTCTGCACTTTGACTGCGGTATCTTGTTTCCAGCAATCAGAAATGCTTTCGTAAGTACAAAATAATTTCGTCATCATTACTTCTAGGATTCGTAAGTGTCAATTTTTTTGCATGAAAATTAGACTTGCAACGAATATTCGGTTACTATTCGGTATTCGGCTTATTCGGCTGCTTTTATTATATTCGACCGAATACCGAATATCTGCATATTATTCGGCCGAATACCGAATACTTAAATAATATATTTTGTTATAGAGAAAAAATTGGTAAAATGAAAAATTAATACGTATAAATTCATATTTTCATTTCTTTTATAATCATTTAAGTAGTCATTGGTACATAACACAGGTAGATAATCATCTTCTGAATTAGAAAAATGGAGGATTTTATGTATTTGAATTATTGTGGTAATTAAAATTTAGAAGGGTAAGGTTCTCATTTCTTTTATAATTATTCATTAAGTAGTCATTGGTATATAAAGCAGGTACATAATTTAATCATTTTCTGTATTAAACAAGTTAATAATTTTTCTATGCATTTGAATTATCTTTATAATCAAAATTTAGAAGGGGAAGGTTATGGTGCAGAAAGACTAACTTTTCTGTATTTTTACAAGTACAAGTTTTTGGCGCTAAAATCCAGCCGAATCCTTTTGCCTAATATTCGGCTATTCGATCAGAGGCCTCGCCGAATATTCGGTATTCGGTATACTGCCGAATATACTATTCGTTGCAAGTCTAATGAAAATACTTATTATTTATGTTCACTATTGTGTTGACTGTAATGTTTTCACGATTTTAATTTTTTTTAGCTATTTCAATTGTATGGACACACGAATATAATGTCAAAACCTTAGTTAAAGCTATTCAGTAGTATTGTAGATAATTAAGTCAACATAATATTATTTAGTAGCCATAATTCTTGTATAGGCTAGATTGTAATTCATGTAAAGTCTCACTCTTTTTTGTGAGATTTATTGGAGGAAAAAAAAAATTAAATTGTATATATGGGTAATGTGGTGTAACCTTTTAACTAAATTAAGAACTAAATCACTCCAGGTTCCAGTTGTCATCTTCGATGGTAAAAAACTGACCGATGATGCCGTAAAAAAGATCACAACTGCATACGAGTTCACAGACCAATTTGCAACCAAAACCTGGTTGGCAGGAGAACAGTTCACAATTGCTGATATCTGTTGCGTGGCAACTATTAGTAGCTTGAACGAAATAATTCCCATTGATGCTCAGAAGTAAGTCAACATGAAAATTCATACTATTAAATAGAGAACACAATCTTTCAATTGCAAACACGCACACAAAAACGAGCAATTCCAATTTTAAAAAATCTTATTTTATACAGGATAAAAACTCTTTCGCGGCTTAGTTTATTTTTCTATATTCAAAAAAGTCATCTAACTGTCATAGTTGGCGTAGTACTCTGACTGTGACTAAATTAAATAGTCATTAAGTCATTCCTATTTTTATAATGCAACATTGAAGATACTAAATAAAGTAATAATCATTGGTTTAGCTGTAAATTATGCTAACTGCTCAGACTTCAGACGTAACGTAAAAAGAATTATAAATCAAGGTCAAACGCAATCTGATTGATATGCAACTCCTTTTTTTTCAGGTATCCACACCTGTATGCCTGGTTTAAACGTTGTTCCGAGTTGGATATTTACAAGAAAAAGAATGCTCCCGGAAACAAAGAATTGGGAGAAACATTCAGAAGCAAATTAGCATAAGTTTTCTTATTTTAAATATTTTTTTATAATGCGTTTTTTTTATAACTGTAGAAAATGTAATAAATAACGCATTATATTATGTTTTACCTTTATTATTTAAAATTACAGCCACCTTTATTATACCACAATTATCTCACAAACAACGTACAGACGAACCTACTCCTTTTCCGAAACAATTATTTAGACAATTTCGTCAACTCAGTACTTTAAATTTAAATATTTAAACAAAAATCATAATAATAATTGAGCGTATAATATTTTGTTAACCGTACTTAAATTTAATTAAATGGAAGTTTAATGAAGTAAAGAAAAACATCAAATAATATCTAATAGGTTGGAAAAAGATATTAATAAGGAATAGTAAGTCCTTGTTTGAAATTTTGTAAGATTTCATCTGATGAAGTGGTGTTATTATATCTCAAATGTATATATTTATACACTGATTAAAAATTTAAATCTTATCTTTAAATATATCTCTAACAGTATGATATAAGCTATTTTTTGTTTTAAAGTAGTTTGCACGAATTATTTAACTAATGAAAATACTGTACATTATCTAATATATAAAATTCTCGTGTCACAGTTTTCGTTGCCATACTCCTCCAAAACGGCTCGACCGATTCTCATGTAATTTTGTGTGCATATTAGGTATGTCTGAGAATCGGACAACATCTATTTTTCATCCCCCTAAATGTTAAGGGTAGTCCACCCCTAAATATTTTTTTTATATTTTTAGATATTTTTTTCTGTTTTTATTTTTTTATGGTACAACATTAAAAAATACATACAAACCCCTAACTTTCACCCCTCTACGATCAACCCCTATTTTTTTATTATAAATGATATACATGGCAAAACGACGTTTGCCCGGTCAGCTAGTATACAATAATAATTTTGTTTTTTAAATTACACTCCTTCTAAAAATTACCTAAGTATATACAAAATTATCTGGGCCTCAATCCTATTGTAAGACGAACAAAACCATAATAAGTAAATTAAGTGAACGGAAACCAACAAAATCTAAGCTTTCTCTACATAAAAGGGCCTGATAGCGTCCCCCAATTGTGATGCGTACTCGTGCTTCAGTGTTGGCTCCGGCCCTAACGTGCCTGTTCCGGTACTTATACTCTCGATGTGCTGGAATACAGCTTCAATACATCCCTAAAAAAGGTAATCGCTATGATTCGTCTAATTATCGGCCAATAGCTATAACTTCCCTGTTCTCCAAAACCAATATTAACGGCCAGCTCTTGAGATATCTAGAAGGCCACTTGCTGATTAGCGATGGTCAGTACGGCTTTAGTCGTGCTCACTCAGCTGGTGACCTTCCCGGTTACCTTACACAAAGGTGGGCAGAGGCAAAGGGAAAGCTCATGAATACACGCGTTTTCCAGTAAAAATCTTAACACCTATTGTCACTAATCCTCTCTTCGAAGACATTCTGCTCACAGCCTCAGCGAGTATCGGAGACGGGCCATACTTTACTCCGTGCCTGCAAATTTATAAAGCGCATATTCAGCCCCACTTGGGGTACTGTGCTCACCTCTCCGCGGGAGCTCCCCAATACCAGCTCCTTCCACTTTACCGTATTCAACGAAGAGCAGTTCGAATTGTCGACGACCAGTCACTTTCCGAGCGGTTTGATCCTCAGCGTGGCTTAGAGATGTTTGATCACTCTGCATCTTTAACCGTACTTACAATTTAGAGTGTTCAGAGTATTGTTCAGTTAGTTTCATCATCGGACGTCGAGGCAGAATACGAAATTCCACCCGTATCACCTCATCATCCGTCGTTCCAAAACTGAGCGTTTTTAAAGGCCGCTCACCAGCACTATGTGGAACCAATTCTTAAAAGGCCGGCAACGCACTTGGCGGCCCTCTGTTATTGAGAGTTTCCATGGGCGGCAGTGTCACTCAACAGCAGATGAGCCTCCTGCCCGTTTGCCTCCTGTTATATAAAGAAAACGAAAACGTAAACAACTTAGTTTTGGACAAAAAGCAACAAAATTATATTATAATTATTTTAATACCCAATGTCTCCAGTATTTAGGTAACTTCCTATTCGGGACAAAAACGACAATAATTAGGTATTTATAGTATTAGACTTTGAGTAAAAACACTCTAACTTTATCGACCGAAACAAATAACCTTGTTTTGTTTTGGTCCATCAAGATTTATTACATTCATTAATTTTTCATTACACTTTCATAAGGTCATAAATTTATTATAAGATTGCTCCTTATTACATTTCCCAATAATTAATATGCACCGTCGGCGAATTGGACTAAAAATTGCCTTTTCGGTAGTATTTTGCGACAGTACATCAATGTATTAAATCCTAGATTCCTGTATTTTTATAAATCCTACAACTTGTACCTAATAAGCCCATATATAATTATCAAAAAGCCGAGCAGTGTTTGTTAGATATATATTACTTATCGAATGTCACACAAAATTAAGCCTTTTGTAAGAACAATATGAAACATATATATGAAATCGAATATTTACGTTATAATAACAAAAATCTATGAAATCTGGAGCAGCGCGGCGCCACGTTAGCTAATAGAAGTTTCCGTTACGCGCATCTTTTTCTTGTCCCTACCACGGTTGATTCGAAGAGATTCGAAGCTATTAATAACAAAAATATATAATAACGATAACAATGATAGTAATAATTCTATTACAATTAATGAATTTTGTAATAATCTTAGTAGTAATAAGGTAAAATAAAATAATTGTATTATTTGTATTCATTACAGTGATAATAAAAGCCTTTTGTTAAACTTCATCTAATTTAACTTTATTTAACCAATTTCTGTAAAGTTGCACATAGTAGATCATTTATCGAAAAATAAGGTCATAAAGAAGTTTCACTTCTTACGTGTGTACACTTAGTACACGCACGCATTTTTTTTTGGAACTAAAATAGCTTTCGATTTTTTTTTCTTTTCGACGCTTTGAATTTGTGCTGCCAGAAATTTTTATTTTATCGACATAATAAATCTATAAATCGAAAAGTGGACCACTATATGAACTGAATACATCAGTTGAGTCATAAAATAGTTCTTGTAAGATCAAACATACTGTTCATTCTTTAGGGAATGACTGGGCTGGTAAATGTGTAAAATCTTTATATGACTTTCGCTGGTCAAGTACAATCAGAAGTGATGGCGCAAGTCACCCCCCACCTAACAATAATTATAATTTGAAAATGCGCCTGATATAAAACTTGCGCAATGTCGAAACATACTCCCGGCCGATGAAACTCTTTCAACATTGTTCATATATATTTCCGTTCTACGCCCTTGATTTGAGAACTGGCACTAAATGTAAAATTAGAAGCATTAATATGTATTTCTTTATTGACAAGTCATAAGTGTACAATGTGTTACCTATATGATTAAATGATTTTTGAATTTTGTACCGGCAACTTGCACAGCCGGACCAATGAACGTGTTATGCAGCCGCTGTTTTAATCTCTGCCACTCTGGCCACTCCATTTAAGCAGCTGCACTCGACCTAACTTCCAGCAGAAAGGAGCAGTATTGTCCTCGGCTATCATCACTAGGTCCCCAATATTAAGATTGGAAGAGTTCTCTCTCCATTTAGTGCGCTGTTGTAATTCCGCCACGTTCTTTTGCCATAAGATAATTGCTCTAATTCTCTGATATCTTTGTAAGTGACCAAATTTGCATTCATCAAGACCTTTAGATGGCACCGAAGTTAATGGTCGTCCAATAAGAAAGTTTCCTGGGGAAAGGGTAAGATGGTCATTGGAAGAAGATAACAAGGGACACAAGGGACGGCTGTTTAGTATTGCCTCTACTTGTGAAAATAAAGTTGATATTTCACCAAAAGTAAGATGACAGTTGCTCATAACATGCCGTATTTGGTGCTTAGATTTTACCCCACTTTCCCAAATACCACCGAAATGAGGAGTATATGTCGGAATGAAATGAAATTTAATAGATTGTCCGTAAGCCTTTCTCGACGAGCAATAAAACGACGAAGTGCCAATAACAGCTTCTAAATGTATACATCTGAAACTCAAGCAAACAAATCGACGGTCTCGACGTATATAAAAACTTGTCAAAATTCTCATTTTTATTTAATTTCATTTTTGGCTTTATCTTGTCCATACCTTTATTTGTATGTAAGATATTTTAATATTGTGTGTACTAGATAAACTCGTCGTATAAGAGAACAAGCAGATTGGTTTCAAAGAATTTATGTCATATAATATACGAAAAACAATACATATATATTTTATAAGGCGCCAATCGATGCGAGCGGGAGTCATGTCGAACTTAACGTCCTTTACGAGGGTTTCCCTGGTAAACTACGCACTATTACAATACAGTTAAGTGGTGTGTTTTATAGTTATTTTGAATTAATAATATCACTATAATATTACTGTGAAAGATGAGTAACAATAGATCAAAGTTATTAGTGGATATAGCTAACTCTAAATATACTACTTCATTCGTTTCTGAATCGTTTCAGTATGATAGCATGTCAAAACTTATTTAAGTTATTTTGCAATCTAGGGGATCATTCTCATCAGTGGTCTTTTATTGCAAGTCATATGAAGCTAATAAAAAAAGCAGTGGACCCAGAATTCTACAAAATTAAGTGTTTTTACGTTTTTTATGCCACTTTTACCTGATGCGTGTATTCGAATTGTATATACCACCAAAAATAAAGCTATATCGTCAATCAACAGTTAAACATACGTTTTCATGTACTGAAAAAGGATCAGTGTGTCTTATGTCAGTCAATGAAAAATACTACCTCACCATTGGATATTGAGAAATTAAAATATGAGTTACATTTCGACAACATAAAACTATCCAGAGAGATGGAAAATGTTGATAAAATAGAAGCTCAATTTCTGTCCACTGTTCATTGATCAAAATAATTCGTTAAATTGAAGAAAGCTTGACCTACTAGAATTGTATTGTTGTTCGCATATATTAATTGATATTTTTGTGACCTAAAAGTTCCAGTTCGTACTATTTATTAATGTGACCATGAGTTAAGCAGCCGGGATTTCCGCTTACTGAACCTCACCCATTTATGATTACTTATTAATTTTAGTTCTAAATTTCTGATAAACTATGACATATTTGAAATCAATGTTTGTAATAAATTATAAATTATTGCAATTTGAAAAATTTTATTTCTTCTGATAGATGACTTGCAATTAGCTTAAATAAACAGTTGAATTTAAATCTCACCATGACATGCCATGACCTCGGTTTATCTTTAGTGATATGAATGGCCGTCGCCAACACAGATTTAGTTTGTTCACGGCTGTTTGACAAGGGGTATGTATTTATTGGGTTTTTTTAAGATTATAGAATATTTATAACTCATGCAATATTGATTGATGAAGTTAAAATTATTTAATATGATGACATATATAAACTATGTATATATTTCATCATATTAATATTAGCCATAGGTCAGGAAATTGAAGATCTAATAAAATGTAACATTCAAATCTAAAACCGGTCGCAAATTCTAAAGAAAATTAGTATATAATAAATAAACTCTGTTTATTAGATTATTTAATTTATTTAAATCTCGACTGTGTATGGTAATATTGTAATTTACAAGTTTATAATGAGCCTATTGTATTTCATAGATAAAACTATCAAACATGGTCCTCACATTGTATAAATACGACCTGAGCCCTCCTGTCAGGTCTGTCCTAATGGTGATCGAACACTTGAAGCTGCCAGTACAATTTGTTGACGTGAACTTTATGAAGGGAGAGCAACATACAGAGGAGTTTAAGAAAGTAATATTTTTAATGTTTTAATTAACGAAGCTAGACTTACATTGACAATAAAGATAGTCTCGTGATGGTTACTTGGTAACCACGTTTTTCATAAATTTTGGTAAAATCAAACCATGAAAAAACTATCCTTCTTTTACGCTCATGCTCACTGCTCACAAGTTTTATTAATAATTCATTTTAAGATCTCCACAATTCAAGGGGACATTCACGCTAGGGATTGTGATTGATAAATACAACCAAATAATAATAAAAATTAAAGACCTACTTCTTATATTCAGATCAATCCACAACACACGGTGCCTACGTTGACAGATGACGACTTCATCCTTGGAGACAGGTAGATAGATTAAATATAATAGTTCGTGTTATAAAATGCGGACTGTAGATAGTACCTACTATAGTTAAGATTTTTAAAAAATAATATATAATATTAATACAGTATCTGTAGTTTTAAAATAAGGCCGGATCATTTTGATATTTTTTTGGCATTTGAAACTTAGAAATAATATTTAGAGCCTTATTTATTGCTATAAACAGAGGAAGGATAATCATATATGCATAAAAAATAATCAAACTTAGCTTACTAAATATATCCCTATTTTAAACGAATTCTGCAATTTTGTAGTTCTGAGATTACGCCCGGGCATCATAAAAAGCAATTACGATAAATTAGTTAACAAAAATATTTTGCATTAACCTATAACGTCTCATATTAATTATGCATGGAGGGCTTTTATGCCCGTTCAATGAATAAATATTCGTGAACAGTATGTTTGGATTCCAAACTTTATTCTATCACTGGTTATTGTAATAAAGCCAGCTTGGTCATGTTTATAATTCCGATAATAATAGAAATAAATATTTTAAAAACATAAGCATGGTTTGATCATGTACACGTATATGTATATATGTATATGTGATAACACCGTACGCGGTACGATGTTTAAGTGGACATACATTTCTGTTTGAAAATCGATACCTTTCGACTACGATAACGGCTCGAGTCGAACGTATTGTTCGTGTTAAAGCCTCTGCTGTTGACTGAGACTGTAAAATAAAAGAAGCAATGGTCTTCATTTTATTAGCTTATATCATACTTAGTCAAATCACAGTGCGATATGATTTGTCGTTCCGTTTGGATATTCACAACCAAACGAAACGAGCCATTTGTTTTTCTTCCTTCAAAGATCATTGTTTCGTTAGAGATATTTAGACGATAGGGGTCATATATTGCCTAATTAACGGAGTCGCTATCTTTCAATTAAATTTAACGTAAATTTTTTCTTTATTTTCAGTCATGCTATTTCGATGTATTTAATAAACAAATATGCGAAGGATGACTCTCTCTACCCCACGGAACCTAAACTAAGAGCCATTGTGGACCAACGTCTGCACTTTGACAGTGGTATCTTGTTTCCAGCAGTCAAATATGCTTTCGTAAGTACAATAACTTCGTCATCTTTACTTTTTTTGTATGAAAATGATTACAGGGCTCCCAGTTGTTAATGCGAATAACTAAAAAAATTAATAAACATGTAATAACCACGACTACTTCGCTTTATTATTTGTTGACATTGCAGATATTTAATTTCTCGACTTCTATACTTTTGGAATGAGTTTTATTTTATTAATAAATCGGCCATATCCATTCCGTTAAAAAAAGCTTAATCAAGTACTTGAATAAAGCTAAGGAAATCTACGTAAATCTTTACTTTACAGTAGATGTAACTGTGTATTTTGTAAAACAAAAGTTTACATTTTTTTAAACTTTTGTATCAATACTTATACTGCATTTTAATTGTTCTCCATGCGGTGTAGTACAGTAGAGTAACGGTAGAGTTTAGTGTTCACTTAAATGGTATATATATGTATACGAACATAGTGACAAAACATTATAGAACACTAAGACTGTTAATAAACATTACCTTTGTTAAAACTATTCACTGGTATTGTAGAAAATAAGGCTAACATAATATTAATTATTGTATAGGCTAGACTGTAATTCATGTAAAGCCACCCTCTTTTTTGTGAACTTTATAGGAGGAAAAAAAATTGTATATATGGGTAAGGTACACAACCTTTGATAAATAAATAACTTAATCACTCCAGGCTCAAGTTGTCTTCCAAGGGGGTAAAAAACTGACCAATGATGCCGTAGAAAAGATCACATCTGCGTACGAGTTCACAGACAAATTTGCAACCAAAACTTGGTTGGCAGGAGAACAGTTCACAATTGCTGATATCTGCTGCGTAACTGATATCAGTAGCTTGAACGAAATGATTCCTATTGATGCTCAGAAGTAAGTCAACATGAAAATTCTACTATGAAATAGAGAACACAATCTTTCAATTGAAAACACACACTCAAAAACCAAACAATTCCAATTTAAAAAAAAAAATATACACAAAATAAACTTCTTCGCTTAGTTTCTTTTTCTATATTCAAAATAGTCATCTAACTGTCATAGTTGGCGTAGTACTCTGAACTGTGACTAAATTAAATAGTCATCAAGTCATTCCTATTTTTATAATGCAACATTGAAGATACTAAATAAAGTAATAATCATTGGTTTAGCTGTAAATTATGCTGACTGCTCAGACTTCACACGTAACGTAAAAAGAATTATAAATCAATGTCAAACGGAATCTGATTGATATGCAACTCCTTTTTTTTCAGGTATCCACACCTGTATGCCTGGTTGAAACGTTGTTCAGAGTTGGATCTTTACAAGAAAAAGAATGTTCCCGGAAACAATGAATTGGGAGAAATATTCAGAAGCAAATTAGCATAAGAGATCTTTTAATATACTTAATGTATTTAACTGTAGAACTGTAATAGATAACGCATTATATTATGTTTTACGTTTTTATTTAAAATTACAGCCACCTTTATAATTCCACAATTCTCTCACAAACAACGTACGGACGAACCTACTCCTTTCCCGAAACAATTATTTAGACAATTTCATCAACTCATAAATATAATTTTCTTAAAAATTGGACGTATAATATTTTGTTAACCGTACTTAAATTTAATTAAATGGAAGTTTAATGAAGTACAAGGATACATCTTGTATGATCACTCATGATCATCAAAGAATATCTAATAGGTTGGAAAAAGATATTAATAGAGTACGGTACATCCTTGTTTGAAAATTTTAAATATTCCATTTGATGAAGTGGTGTTATTATATGACAAATGTAGATATTTTAAATACACTGATTAAAAATGTACTTTTCTTTAAATTTATCTGTAACGAGAAGATACAAGCTATGGCACAGTTTTTTTTAAAGTAGTTTGCACGGATTATTTAACTAAAGAAAATACTGTTGATAGCAAATTTGACTCCAACTAAACTTAATCTTTTGTTTTTTTAAATTACACTCCTTCTAAACAGTTGTTTCAATAATATCTACTTAAATGTTACCGAAGTATATAACGAAAGTACCTGGGCCTCGATCCTATTGTAAGTCGAATAATAACATAAATCATAATAAGTATATAAGTGAACGGAAACCAACGAAATCTAAGCTTTCTCTACTTAAACGGGCTTGATAGCATCCCCCAATTGTGGTGTGTGCTTCAGTGTTGGCTGTTCCCCTAACGTGCCTGCCAGCTCTTGAGGTATCTAGAAGGCCAAGGCCAGCGATGGTCAGCGCGTGTTTTAATAATAAAACCACCCTCTGTTGAAAACACTCTTCTCAAAGCCTCAGCTAGTACCGGAGAGGGGCCATACTTTACTCCGAGCAAGCCTGCAACTTTATAAAGCGCAAATTCAGTCCCAAATCTAAGCGGGAGCTCACCAGTACCAGCTCGAATTGTCGACAACCAGCCACTTTCCGAGCAGCTTGATCGGCGTGGCGTAGAGATGTGAGATCTCTCTGCACCTTCTACCGTAATTAACCACCTAGAGTGTTCAGAGGAGTTGTTCGGATTCATACCTGCAGCTGATATCATCATCGGACGTCGAGGCAGAATGCGAAATTCCACCCGTGTCACCTCAACGTCCGTCGTTCCTCAACTGAGTGTTTTTAAGGCAGTGTTTGCCGCGCACCACCACTATGTGGAACCAATTCTTAAAAGGCCGGCAACGCACTCACGAGCCTGTCATTGAGAGTATGTATGGGTGGCAGTATCACTCAACATCAGATGAGCCTCCTGCCCGTTTGCCTCCTGTTATATAAAAAAAAAGAAAACGTAAAGTTTTAGTAAACTAATTTCGGAGAAAAAACATCAAAATATCATACAAAACTATATTTTAATTCTTTTAATACCCAATGTCTACAGTATTTAGGTAACATCCTATTTGAGAGAAAAACTGCATTAATTTTGTATCATAGTATAATCATATAAGCTAGGTAGACTTTAAGTAAAAACACTAAACTATTGATATTTCAATGAAGCATGAGTATAGGTAACAAAGATACATCTATATATGCACCATAAAACTTTATTGACCGAAACAAACAACCGCAATATTACATTCATTATTTTTTTCATTACGCTTTCATAAGGTCATAAATTTATTACAACATTGCGCCTTATTACATTTTCCAATAATTAACGGACCAATCGAGGCATTTTTGCTCCCCGTAAATATTTTTAATGAATATAATTAATATGCAGCGTCGGCGAATTGGATTAAAAATTACCTTTTCGGTAGGATTTTGCGACATTACATCAATGTACAAGGAATAATTTCGGACAAATTACTATATAATGTAGAATTTTATAGATCTTACAACTTGCACCTACTAATCCCATATATAATTATCAAAAAGCCGAGCAGTAATAGGTAGATATATTACTTATTGAATGTCACACAAAATAAAGCAGGAGCAACGCCACGTGGGCTTATTTGGAACTAAAATAGCATTCGAATATTATTTCTTTTCGACAATTCACATGTTTGTGCTGCCAGAAATGTTTATATTATCGATATATAAATCAAAAAGTGCACCATAAATAAGTGAATGCTTCAGTTGAGTTGTAAAATAGTTCTCGTACGATCAAACATACTATGCGCCTTTTGATGTTAAGAACTATCGGAATACATAAGTTGACATAGTTAACAAACCTAGCATATTATATTGTATTGGTACAAATCCAGCTGATCTCAGTGCAGTTCATTAGCAAATACGAGAGCAAAGCTAATGACAGACCGACAGATGGAATCAGGAGTAAACAGTATCTAGTAATTTACATGTTAAAACGTCTCTCATTCCGTAACGAGGACTCGTAATGTATTGCATTTCCGTGCTGAAATACATTGCTAAGTGATTTTAAAATAATAGCTGTTTACAATTCTATTCTTCGTAGATAAGAATGGGGCCCAATTCTTAATTAGGCAACGCTTAAGAGTAGACGTGTTACATAGTTTTAGTTTAAAATAAGTTGTGGTGACTGTTCGTACTTGAACTCGTGTATGCGGTGATGTTAGTGGTTTCGACTATGTATTTGCGTGTTGTTCCCACGAGAATGTAAGTGCGTGCTCCTATTTCACCATGCCTCCTGCTGATAGAGGACAGATCTTTGTTTTTAATTGATTTTATTATTATTTATTACTTAAGATGTCATGTGGATCATGGTGTAATGGTTGTGTAAATCAAAAAAACTTGGCGATTAAAAAAAGTGCCGGAGAGTTTATTGCCAGTTCTTCTCTTCCGTTCTACGCCCTTGATTTGAGAAATGGCAGTAAATGTAAAATTAGAAACATTTAATGTACCTATATTTCTTTTTTGACGTTCATAAGTGTACATTGTGTTACCGACATGAATAAATGATTTTTGACTTTTGACTTTTGATGCTAAAAGTAGAACAATGTCAGAAATCAGGTACCAATTTATATTGAAGGCACAATATTTCATGCATAATGCATAATTTTAATGACTAAGTACCTCTCTTTCGATTAAACGGAATTTTCTACTCGTGTTTATTTAATCATTCGAGCAAATAGGTAATCAGTACGTATCCAAACCATCTTGTCCATTTTTGATATTAAGACGGGTTTCGTACGATATTGTCTTAGGAGACGCACGCGGTATTAGGAGACGCACGCGGCACGACTAATACATACTGAGAATGGTCTAAGGAAATAAATCTATAATAAAATAGGTAAGTACAGTAAGCAAAGATAAATCTTTGAAGACAGCAATAAGAAAAAAGCTGCACCTAGATTAATTAATGCTTTCTCTGCTCTGTTAATTTGTCTCTGTGAAATAAAATAGAATTATTTGTCATCTGTTTCAGTATTCATATTCATTTAATTAAAAAGCTTGAATCAATTTCACAGCTACTCGCTGTTATGACTTTGTATTTTATTTAAACTTTCCATAATTTAATTATATTAAAAAAATGCGATGTGCTATGAATATTACGCTATATGATTCAAACAGCACCAAATTGTGCTCGATTATCATTTGTTTATTGTCTTAAAAAATGTTATGAAGAGGAAAAATCTCTATGAAGAGAAACTAAACTGATTTTAATAATCTCTTTATATATACTCGTAAAGGAAATTAATGTATTGTCGGACAATAAATGGAGTGGGTGTTTAGTGCAGGTAACATGAGAAGACAAAAAAAATATAAAAAGCTATTTAGTATGGACCTCAATAAAACAAACTTTCTCAGCTAAGCGTTATCCTAAATTTAGAAGCTTCTTATTAGTGGCATGGCTAATTCTAATACAACGGAAATCCGATGCGATCGTGTCTTTGAGTATCTACGTTAATTAATCTTTGACGTTGCCCGATCTTAACGTCCTCCACAGAAATGCATTTGTAAGGAACAAACAGAGCCTGCAGTTTGAGGTTCTGCATTGCATTGTCTATGGATTCTCACTAGTTCCCAGATTATGTTAATAAGGTGTGAAAATGCTATAGGGAAACTTTATTTACATATAAAAATAAAACCGACTCGCTCTTTTGTTTACAATGTAAATGAATGTTTAGAGAGTGAGTTGACTTTGCGAACTGAGAAGTTGAAGGTATTTTTTTCATTTTATTTCCTTAAGACTATATATATATAACACTCGCTCGTACGGTAAAGGAAAACCACGTAAGAAAACCGTGTATGCCTTAGATCAGTGTTTCCCAAGCCTTTTTGTGCTATGCCCCAACTTAGCCTTTCGTTTACATAAGAAAGTTTTAGGAAGAAATAACTTTCTTATTTGAAATAACCTTCTGCTTAGGGTAAACCTTTTCGTTACGTAACGCGTTACAGCTTGTCTAGCCTCTCTTTCTCTCACGCATACGGCAATGATAGGCAGGCACCTCCTCTCTCACTCAAACCCGCAGCGCTAGCCATATTTCGGACAAACGCTTTCCTCTCACTCTACTCAAATTTTGTGTGCGTTAGACATTTAATATTGTCAGTGAATATATAACCTCAAAAAAAAATAAAGTAGAACATTAAAGAAATAAATATTTCAACTTTAGTTTTCACCTCCGTCGAGCGTCCCGAGAAAATCTGAAAATCTGAAATTAAAACTACAAATAGTTTTAATTAATTTTCGTATATTTTGAATTAATATTAACAATCAAAAAAATCAATATATATGTTATATTTTCATAATGTGCGAACGGCGAACTCCGTTTCGCCACCAGATGGCTTCGTTTTATGTAACATTTCGTTTGGATATCCCGATTTTTTCCTGAATTTTCTTTACTATAAACCTCACGGAGCCCGAGACCTTTCCAACGAATGCAAAACCGTGGAAATCGGTTCGTGCGTTCTGGAGTTATAGCGTCAGGAAGGAAAACCCGACTTATTTTCATATAGTAGATATTTT